AAAGTAAAGCTGATAATAATAAATTCAATAACAATAGTAATTATAATATTGATAATAGTAATAGTAGTAATAATAATGATAATCATAATATCAATACTGATGATAAAAAATACTGATGATGATTATTATTATTGACAACAATAATAAGTAAGGAAGACGTTATATTCCTATTTGTTTATTATTATTATATCATTATTATTATTATTATTATTATTATTATTCATTATTATTATTATCATTATCATTATTATTATTATTATTATTTATTATTATTATTATTATTATTTATTATTATTATTATTAATATTATTATTATTATTATTTTGAAGAATTGAGATTAATTTTCTCATAACGTCCATTGAAAAAAAACACGAATTATACATAGCTTTTCTTTCTTAATCAAGAGAAGAATAGAATAGGAACACTTATGTCCACTTTACTTATCCTATCCTTCGTTATACAGATTTTCGTGAGCCAAAGAAAGAACACGATAGGAAATGAATAAATGAAAATAACACAAATGAAAGAAATCAAGGTCTTACAACGATACTCAAGGAACAGGCTTACTCTATACATGAATATATAGTGAATATATATAATGAATATATATACACATATAGGTAGATAGATAGATAGATAGGAAGATAGATATCATCAAAAAAAATCCGTTTTTTATTTCCCTTCAATTACCGATATTCTAAAAGTCAATTCTCCAAACCAGGAAAAAATTAATAACGCGCTAAATATTCGAAGAAATGAATATATTCTAATTCCAAAATCGACTCTTTAGAATGAAAAAAATAAGAAAAAAAAAGAGAAAAATTCGGACCAGAATTCACACTATTTGACGACGGTTCTATGCGTGTGTCGCTTCTCTCACCCTCCGCCGGGACAGGCCGATCGAGGAAGCGGGGAGAAGGAGAGAGAAAGAGAAAAGAAATCGGAATTAAAGAAGAAATAGACGATGATTAACCTCCTCCTTTATTTCGTTTGTAGAGGATTCCTGCGAGATATGGAATATCATTGTGTCGAAGATTTAGAAATTAGAGGTTTTTGGTAAATGAATTTTTCGTTGGAATTTTCGATGTGTCCGACTCTGTGTTGTGTTTGCGCGGCTGAGAAACTGCATTTTTTCGTCTATTTATTTTTTTGATTATTATTCTTTTGAAAGATTTAATTCCGTTTGAGTAAGATGTCGTAAATGCGAAGAAAAGGATAAATAATTAGTTATAGCAGCGATGCCTATGTAAGACAAATAAATGAATGAATATATATATAAATTAGACCTAATATCTAATACAATTGCAGGCAACCCACATATCTAAAAAATCCAGATAAAATCAACAGAAATATATCTACAAACGGAAACATGTACATATCTAGATATACTGTAAGAAACGCCGATATCAATAAAACGAAAGAGGAAAAAATATCATGATCGTTCGAGTGATTTGTGTGTGTGTTATGTGTGTGGTGTGTGTGTGTGTGTGTGTGTGTGTGTGTGTGTGTGTGTGTGTGTGTGTGTGTGTGTGTGTGTGTGTGTGTGTGTGTGTGTGTGTGTGTGTTGTGTGTGTGTTTTATATATACATATATATAGATAGACATAGGATAGATAGGAGTACATATAGATATAGAAATAGATAAAGATTGACTTTACTTATTTACTTATACATATTTTTTCTTCGCGTGAAAAGTTATTCTGCAGCGCTTGGCCGTCGAATAAGTCTAAAACATTGATACATTTTCATAAGAGCATCTCTATCCTTTCCTAAATACCCCTCATGATGATATATTTTCACACGAACTAAAGCGATAAAGCGGACATACAGGAAACCCTTATTTATATAGAGTAACGAGAATAAAGGGAAGTAAATGAGAAGGAGATGGAGAAGAGGACGAAGAGAGAAAGAGAAGAAGGACAACATCTGTGTGCAATAAATTATCAAATCGTAACAGCAGGTTAGTTTAGACGAGGAGCGACCGGGAACGTCTTGTGCACATTAAACACCACCACACACACACACACACACACACACAACACAACCACACACACACACACACACACACACACACACACACACCCCACACCACACACCACACACAATACATACACACTTACACACAACCACACTACACACCAAATATAATATATATAATATATATATATATATATATAATATATATTATATATATATATATATATATATATAATATATATTATATATATATATATATATATATATTATATATATATATATATATATATATATATATATATTATATATATACATATATAATATATATATATATAATATATATATATTATATATATATATAATTATATATATATATATATTTATAATTATATATATATATATATATATATATATATATATATATATATATATATATATATACTATATATATATATATATATATATATATATATATATATATATATATATATATATATATTACATATATAAACAGACACAACACCCTTCAAACATATACGTTTGAGCACAAGTGCATTTGCGCATTTGAAAAAATATAGTTTTTTTCTATCTTTAATCTTCATGCAATCACGGCAACCTTTTCATTATGTAAAAACATCGAAATATATTAATTAAACGTAACGGCAAGCAAGACGATGTGATTAAGCATTTAAGGATTACATGCTCAATTTCATCAGATTCGATAAATAACATTAGTAGTCGTAATATTTAGATATTTACGTTCATCCGCTGTCATACTTCATATAGTACTGGTCACTCGTTTGGATCACTGATGGTGGCTATAATAAATATACAATCATTTATATGACTTTCAAGTAATTTATAGTTATAAAATCTGGGACTGGAATGGAACATATATTTGTATCAATGTAATAATTTTATTTTGTCAACACATCTGTGAATTAGTGATTTTTTTTTTTTTTTTCTGCAGTTTTATGTATTTTCGCCACAGTTCATAATGAAAGTATAGGTTAAAAAAGTATCGTTAGAGAGCAAAAGATACATAATTCCTTATACTATTGCATGTAAGTATTATTATGATTATTATTTTTTTTTTTTTTTTTTTTTTTTTTTTGCGTAATGGGTGATTTAAAGAATCTCGAAATACAGATAAACAGATAAATGCTATAAGAATAAGCAAAAAGACAAACAAATACATTCATTCATTCACAACCAAATAAATGAATAACTATATACACCATAGACGAATGAGTAAGAAAATATATATATATATATATATATATATATTCATTCAGGAAATATCTCTCTGCAGTTTGTACGTTGTAACACACACACACTAAATCATTTTCACCCTCAGCATTCCGTCCACGAAGTACTATTGTATCACAACCACTAACCGTTCCAAGCACAAAAATGAAGCAAAAAAGAACTTGGTAACAGAAGCAAAATCATATGAAAAAAGGTCCCAAATACATACAGATCAGCAAATGCGTGGATGCTTCATTCGCACAAGTGTATACGTTGGTTTACACACATGTATACATGCGGATTCGCATATGTATAAATACAGTGAGACAAGCACATTCAGGGACAAACGCATCCACGCATACAAACACATACAAAGAGATTATCACATTCATTCACATTCATGCATAGAAACACACACAGAACCAAACGCGCTTGTACGCACATTCACACTACGGCACATCACATCACACAACACACACAAAACACAACACAACGAGTCACACACAATACACAAACACATAAACGACAGACAAACACACATGCACACACAAAATCATTCACACGCAGTTTCACACACCCAGTCAAGTCTCCCCCCTTAGTCGTAAATGGACTACGTAAACCACCTGATTTTTACGACCCTTAACGACAATGCAGATCCCCATTGATGACGAAGACGCCGAGAAAAGCAAGAAGGTCGTGTCATAAATTCTTCGGCAGGAACGACCCAAAGAGCGAAGGATTCCAAGTCAGCAGTTGGAAGAGAGAGAGAGAGAGAGAGAAGAGAGAGAGAGAGAGAGAGAGAGAGAGAGAGAGAGAGAGAGAGAGAGAGAGAGAGAGAGAGAGAGAGAGAGAGAGAGAGATGTTGGTATATACATATTTATTTGGTTAAGGATATTAGGTATAATATTATATACACACACACATCACACACACACACACGTATATGTATGTGTGTTTGTACATACACACAAACACATATTCTTCCTTTCCCTCTTTTCTTGCCTTCAACAAGTCGTAAATTTCTCCTCCTGTTTCTGTTATATTTTAATAAAAAGTTTTGTGAATGTCCAGAACTGCGTTGTAATAATTATGAATTATACACCTGTGGCATGCAAATAACGAGTATTTTTTTCCGTTTTTTCCTACTATTTCAGACTAATAGTTTTTAGAATAAAATTCAAACGTTTTGAAAATATACGCACACACTACGCGAAATGCAAAATAATTTTCTCTTTAATTTGTCGCCCGAGAGAACTGGATAATTCAAATATAAGAAATAGAGAAATACGTCACTAAAAGATTTTTCTTAAAGAACGCGATTCTTTTCCCTATTATTTATAGACTGGATTGAATGCAACTAATTTTCTTCTCCGGTGAACATTGTGACTTTGTATTTTTTCCGAATAGTAAGTGCAGATTTTTTCTTTTTCTTTCCTTCTCTTACGTCCGGCAATCATAAAAACAAAATCTTTGAAAACTTCACATTGCAGAGCTAGTATTATTTTTTCCTCTTTTTAAAACTTTTCCACTTCTCGAGCACCTGTATCTCTCTTTACCCTTTTTTCCCCACTTCTTTCCTTCCCTTATAGGTCAGAACGGATGCCCCCGCAGGCCTATAAATTTTTGAGTAGTTCTATTTGTTGTCAATTTGTCAGAAGGGGACCGCAGTTGACTCATTAAGCGGGGTTTACGACGGAGACAACACTTTCCAAGCCTCAAACCCTTCCTCTGGAGACACCCACCGCCAAGGATACAATTTATGACTCCCTCCCTTACCCAGTACGCTCGCTCTTGCGGTTACGCTCCTCAAAGAGTTGGCTGGAGGTCGGTAAGGAACATATTTATGACTTTATGGACTGTTTATAGGCGGCCGAAAAGGATTGTTAAGGAAGAGGAGGAAGGGAAAAAGAGAGGGAAGAGAAGGAAGGCGGTGATCTGCGGCTAGTTAAGACGCCACCGGGTGTCGTCGCCGAGGCCGCAGGGATCACGGGCGTGTGGGGCGGGGGCGCGAGATGGGCGAACGGCCTGGCGGGAGATATTTACGAGATCCTTCTGGGCCGCCGCTCGCGTGCGTCTGCGGCCCGCACATGGCTGCTACTGTAGGAACGATGCCCTGTGGCATGCAGAGACCTGTCATGCAGTTGAGCAGGAGTAGAAAGGGGACAGAGCTACTGAGAAGAGAACCCGAGGCGGCCGAGAGAGATTTAGAAGAGGAAGACGCTAGTGATCCCAAGAAGGAGGGAGGCGTGAAAACCTGTAAGAGAAGTTGGCCTAATGTGTCACGGGTGAGCAAAGGTACAGCGAGACGCACATGGCGGCGCTCTTGAACAACCTGTTCGACAGATTTATGTGTCTACTCACTCTGGCCGAGGTGCACTCTCTTCATCCACGGGTAGATCTGAGGGGCGGGCTTCCCGGAGGACGAGCCTCCCGCGCTTCCAGAGGCGCCCTCCAGACTCTCTCCTCCTTCGGCTCCTTCGCCTCCTCCGCCGGAGTTGCTGCTGCCGCCCCCGCCGCCCTGACTAGAGCTGTTCTGCTCGGAGCCGCTTCCGGAGCTGCTCGAGCCCGGCCCGTTGCCGCCGGCGGAGACGGACAGGTCCTGCGGGGAGCCGACCGGGTTCGCCGTCGACGACTCTGGCGTGGGGGCGAATTTGCAGGAGGCGGAGGAGGAGGCCTGCGGCGTGGCGGCAGGCGAGGTGGAGGTCTGGTGGAGGCGCCCCTGCACGGAGGGCCCGGGCGTGGTGTTGCCGCCAGAGCCGCTCGGAGTGCCCACTGACGATCCTCCCGCCGACGCCGAAGTCACTACCACGCCCGCACTGCCTCCTCCAGGGAACTCGCTGCCGTTCGGGACAGCCGAGAGTCCCGACGGTGTGTAACCTCCGTACTGCTGTAGTGGAGGCGAGTAGCAGTTGTTGTAACTATTGACGGAGGCTCCGTAGTAGTCTGTGTTCACACCACTGGCGTCCTGTCCGCGCTGCCCGTAGCAGGCGGACATAGAGTTCACGAACTGATAGGAGCTCATCGCGTAAGTCCGCAAGTGATTTGCTCCACGAGTGCAGTTCTGTCCACTGTTCCACCCAATGTTGATGGATTATGGCGACACTAGTCGAAGGGAAACCTCTCTAGCACTTGCACATTACTCCATATATGGGCTCGGAATACTAACACGTGACCGACAGCAACCAATAGGAATGGGCGCATGAGTGGAGGTTAACAAGATAATGAGAGTGGAAGCGGCCGCAACGAGGCTGGCCCGACCCGCGGACCCTGCGCGAGCCCTGCACCCACTCCGAGCGTCCGACCACCGTCGCCGTCCGGATAAATTACGAGCAGTCGGAGCGCGCTTGGCCCCACCGAGCGCCCATGTGACGATGCACGACTATAAACAAACCGTAAATAAGAGCATGAGGGCCGGGGATGCGCAGCAGCGAGCCGGCCGGCGCGGCCGCGACATCTGTGAGCAGCGCGGGGAGTTAGCGGCGTGTGGCGACCAGACGGCGTGCGGGCGGTGCGCTAGCAGGAGGGGACGCCGCCTTGGCAGAAGTGGGGCTGCGGCGCCGACACGACCGCTCAGTGAGACGGGGGACGCCGTCCGGGGAGGGCCTCGCTCACCCCGCCCCGCGGCCGGCACTGGCACCGCCCACCCGCACCTCCCCGGGGCCCTCCCGGGGCCCGCCGCCATCACTCGCCTCTCCCCCTTTGGCAACGCGCCTCTTCCTCCGCCCGGCCATGCATTCCACCTTCGTGCTCGTCGAGGGTGATACGCCTCCGAGCCGCCCGCGCTGCAGCTTCCGACGGCGACGATGAAGGCGCTCGGCGTCGTGTGCTCGGCCCCGCCCGTGGTCACACCTGTCCCCACACACCTGCCTCACATGTGTTTCAGACACTCACACAGTCACACTTGGGCTTGGAGAACACTTTCCACGTGTACCTTCCTGCACCTCGCATGATATCCTACCCGCGGTGTACCCTCCGCCCAGCTGTTCGGGAGTCCGCTCGCCGCCCACGGGAGCGCACGAGGGCAGGGGCGGCGGCGCAGGTGCAAGGACAGCCGCCCGACTCCAGCTCCATCAGTCATGTCTCCCGTCACCAGTGCCCTGTATACCCAAGCGACACCCGACAGACAGACAGACAGACACTTAGACAGGGGTACACGCCTGATGAAGCGGGGAGTGAGGAAGGGGGGAGGGGGGAAACAGGAGATCCCCAGGGGCCCCCTCCCCTCCCACCCCCCCTCCCATCAATTAACGCATAACTGGAGCTTATCCTTGACTTT